GGGGATGGGGGTTGGGTGTTGGGGAAAGGGGGGGTTGCCTTGTGCAGGCTGATAGTTTGCATTATCTTATCGTACTCGTGTATGCAACCCATCCAGGAAAACATAGCTTTTGTTTCTACAATGTAATCATCATGGGACATGGTAGTTTCACTCAGTTTTGTTTAACATTAAAAAAGGGTGTGGTAGGTGAAGCCAGGCCGACCCGACTTCGCTCGTACTGTAGGAAAGTTTAAGATTAAGACACATGTGAAACAGTTGGATATCTTTATTGATGAAACGTTTCTCTCGCACAGTAGGCTTCTTCAGTCAAAAACAAAGGGAGCAGCAGTAATGGAATAAAGATGATGTAATCAGTCCATCAACCTTGGAGAAAAAGTTGGACTTATTACATTATCTTTATTTCATCAGTAAAGATACCTAACTGTTCCATATGTCTTAATCCTCAACTTATTGGTATTTTATACCATTTTCAATAATACTGTAGGAAAGTGTTGATTACTCGCTCATGTTTAAGGCCTCGCAAGCTTTAGACACTGGGACCTTCAAGGGAAGCTACGTTGATGTTGAAGGGCTCTTGATCCAAAAACTTCAAACTATTCTCTTGGATCAAATCTAATTACCCCATTTCTAAGGCGCTATATGACTGCAAAGAATCTAGAGCTTCCATCTAAATGTAATTAACAAGGAAAGTACTGGGAATGTCATCTTTGCGAGCTGAGTAAGAAGAGATAGGTAACGGCGTACATATTCATAGAACGATAATATAATAAACAAGGAAGATACCTTCACACCAAAACTGGAGCAAAAAGCCACTATTAAATTGCGATTATACAAGTGCAGAAAGGAAATATATAAGATATTTCATCACAAATAATGTTTGATATATGGAGTAGATAAAAGTAGTTGTGTACGCTAAAACTATTTTTAGGTATTTTTTTCTGTTAACATCAGATACCGTATATAGTTATAATGTACGCAGGAGGAGAAATTCATACCAGAAGTGGCAGAGGGTAAGAACAAGGACGTAGTCCACTCGGATGTGTAGTACTATGTCGAAAAGTGCCAGAACATGGGGGAAAAAAAATTAGGGGCGGGGGAGAGACAGCAGAGAACAGAAGCGAGCAGAGTTGCCGGGAACGAATAGTGCTCAGGTGAGAATATAAAAAGAAAATTGGAGCATAACAGCGACAGCACAAGTCGGGCTCGAAACTGCAACATAACCTCACCAGGTGATGAATATAAAGGACCAAGCAATAAGGGTAAAGGAGAACAGCTTACCGAGAATGAGGTCGTTTGTGAGGATCTCCACAGATGATTTAACGGCATGTTCGCTGGACATCAGAGTGGAAAGTCTTGTAAATTTTGAGCCCGATGCATAAAAAAGCGGGATTTAAAAGTACATGACTCTGTGGATCTTGAAGAGGAGCAGAATCCGTGTGCGTCACTCAGAAATCTTCATCAGATTATTGAACACTGGGCGTCTACCAGAAATATAAAACTAAGTAAAACTCGAAAAGTACAAAGGAGGTGGGTGGGAAGAGTGGTGTGGGCGTAATCAGTGTTCGTACATGTCGTCAAAGTTGAGTATGGCGCCAGTCTGCCTGCCTCCCCCACCACCCTTGACCTAGCCTCCCCCACATATCTTCCCGCTATCCACCTCAACACATCATCACATTCTTGTATATTTTTCTCTCCGGCTTCCTCTTTTTCCTGTCTCCTGTCAGGGATGTCTGTCAGTTTTTTAATTAGCTAATTTTGTAAGGTTTTGGAAAATGTTTAATGTGCAGTAGTGAAATGACTTAATATGCAAATCCCCAAACAAGAAATCTTGATATTTTATTGAAGTACATTTCAGGGTTTAACAAATCAGTCACCGCCATCAAGCATAATTTCCGGAATATGACAGTGTACAGTACTAACCAAACTAAGTGAATGAAAATACAAAAAAAATATAATTACTGTACTATATATATATATATATATTATATATATATATATATATATATATATATATATATATTATATATATATATATATATATATATATATATATATATATATAAATTATATAAATATATAAATATGCATACATAATCATATAATTATTTTGTTTCTCTTGGTGTTTTTTTTACATCGTAAGTTAAGAGTTGCTACCTTTTATTTACAGGCTAAGTTTTAATGTTTCTCTGATCTTCAAGGTAGGTTACCTTAATGTTGGTAAAGGATTCTTGATGCAAGGAATTAGACCCATATTTTCCTTAGCACCTTATTCTGCAGACATTGTATAACCCCTCTGAGAAATTACCTGCATGAGGTTTACAGAGTATTTCCTGAATTATTACGTGTATGTAATTTGGGTGAAGTAAGTGGGACTTAGTTACAGTAGGTCACAGGACTGTCACTCCTTCGATGCCCACTCCTTCGCCACTCACAAAAGAGTTTGACCTGACATTAAATTAATAATTACAATATTAAACATTAATACCAATAATGGCAAATTATAAAATAGTGTGGACTGTATGAAAATTAAAGGAAAGGGTCTCCAGAAAGGATTAGTGGGAACACTAATACACACAGACAAGGTAAAAATTTTCCAATTGACACCAGGTGCATATATACCAAAAGTTAGATAATTAAGAAATTTTTATTACCACTTATATTGTAGTTGAATCATCCCACAATGCCTGCCTAACAAATAGTCCTACAGGGGACATTCCAGTACTTATTAATTATAATTTGAGGCCGATCCTTAATTATGGCCTCGATGACTCCGGATTACTAGATATCACCACAATCAGTGCTCACACATTAATTAACTATGGCGTCCTCCTTCCCTGTATCACTCCACAGCCGCTGCACATCCTCCTTCACAAAATTTCTTAAAGGGTCAAATCAGCATCACATATTAGTACAATTATATTCATATTTACACATGCTAAATTTAGGAAAATTATGAAAAAATTCCACAACCCCCTACGAGTTTAGTGCTTATCCATGAAAATAATTATCCTGTGGCTTTAGATAGCCTTCATACTCCTAGTGTCCCTATTATTACATTAAAATTATTAGAACCAGTAGGTGTGGTTGCACTTGCATACATGTTCAAGTGTGGCTCCACCTGCACTTGCTGCCCCTTCCCCCTCCCCCCCCCCCCCCAGCACAAGTTTTGCTTTCATGCTTTTTTTTTTATACTGGCTATTATTGTGGTGCCAGTAAGGATCATTTAACTTTTTCTTCTGATAGTGACAATTTAATGCGACTTTTAAATGGCATTGGTTATTTTAACTTCGTTGTAGTATTAAATTGAGATGCGTTTTACTCGTGCTAGTAGTTGTTTGGTTATTTGTTTTTTGGCTCGTGCGTGTTGTACTTATATTTTCTTTCCAATAAAGCTGAATGATCTAATCTGTCAAGGCGCTCATCTAACTTCAAAACTAGTATACCTGCCTACCCGCATCACAGGTTGAACAGCCTTTACCTTTGGTGCTTCCCCACAACACCATCTGTTTGTTTTCATATGCCGTATTATTCGTAATAGCTGTAGAATGTATGCATTGGTTGCCTATGAGTAAAAGTGATTTCAGCCGCAATTTCGTCTACTGCTTGCCTGTGTAAGTAGTAGGTCGGTAGACAGCAACCCACTCGGGTATCTTTGTCATGTGAGCGTGGAAAAAAAATCCTGTTAAATTTTTTGCATTCGGGGAGGATTGCTGCTCTTTGTTTCGTGAACACGTAAGATTGCAGGTAAATTTTATACTTTTACTTGCTGTGTTCACTTTCTTTTGTTATGTAATAGTTGATATTCCAGTAATACTTGGGAGTACATGGGAAAGACAGGCAGCAGAGAACTTTGAAATTCACATAGAGGCTATCTACTGAGAATATTCTACTTGAATCATTGTCGTGCACTGTGTAGCTAGGTGTGAGTGTCAAGGATAGAAAAATATGAAACACACACACCCCACCCTCTACTCCCTCTGGTCACTGCCGGCATGAAACCGGAAAAATGTTCTATAGCATATTGGAAAATGGCATGTAATTTACAGAAGAGATGGAACTGGATGGAAGAAATGGGTTACAGTTATCTCTTACGAAATTATTGTTGTTTCTGTCTTAAACTTCCCGTATTATTTCACTTCCACTCGGAGTTGTGTACCAGTGGTTCTGCTTCTGGTTACCACTAGTTCTGCTCTATCACAGCCCACTCCTTCTCCCACTACTGGTAAGAGTGGCATCTGCTGAAGAACTACTGGAATTTTAATATCTGAATAGGCGGCAGGATAAAAGTCGTGAAATTATCTTGAGATGCACAGATTTCTTAACCAAAACTTGCAATTGCTGACTGAAACGTAAATAAGCTGTTACTTTAACTACATTTGCCATTTTCACGTGGAAAAATAGAGCCGTAAAAACCCCGATATTCAATATTTTTGCCCCATTGTTCACTTAAGATAAGTTGTGCGTAATTTTCTCAAGTGACAGAAAAATCATTTGTGGGGAAGGCAGTGAAGTGGCAGGGGTGGGGGGTAACGTAATTTATTCCATACTTTTATATTTTGTTTATCAGTCAGATATATCTGCTAAATGCATCAGTGCCGTAAATATAATTATATAATTTATATTTTATATATATATATAATATATATATTATATATATATATATATTATATATATATTATATATATATATATTAATATTCTGTATTTACTAGCTAGATTACTAGGGGCAGTTAACGGTCATTACAGATGTTCATACTAGCTTTAGAATTTTGATAATATAGATGTAAAGCTATAGAAATCCATTCTCAAAGATATATGGTGCTGAAATTAGAATCTAAATGAGGTAAAGTATATGGTTTTGAAAGAGTTGAATAGCAGAAGTTAGGCCGTTTGAGTAGAGCGAGTGTTACTGATAGTGGGTTGATGGATGAGGTTTGCAGGAGAGGGATGTTGCCTCTTCCTGCCAGCACTGGTGCCTCATCCTGCACGTGTCTAACCACCACTGTATGCTCGTGTTTGTTAAAGCTGCAGTTTGGTTTATTTAGCTACATATATTGGACTTTATTTTCGATATTTATTAAATTTAATTTGCTCGATCTGGATGAAAATCATAAATTCTAAATATTAAAACATAATTAAAAACAGTGAGCATGATTTTGTGCCATTAATTAGTCAGTTTTATATGATATAAGTTTTATACATAATATGTATATTTAACTTTTACATTTGATCTTGATACATTTATTAATACAAATGACAATATTTTGAGGTTGACGCCACAACAATAAGACTTCGTACCTTGCGCAAGTGAACATGCCTTTGTACTGGTGCGTGAAAACTCTCTAGACCATAATAGTTTCCAGTAATTAGATAAACACTAAAAGGAGTTGATATATCAATGCTGGACCTATCTTGTGCATCCGGTCAGAAGTAGGTAAACTGTCATTCTCTCGGAGGCTTTAAGAGCATCGTCCTCTCAGACGCTGTCACACCTTATTGACAGATAGGTTAGAGAAGCTTATCCTGAGAACCCAACACCCCTCCATACACTGAATAATTACGTAATGCCCACACCTGGTTAGTACTTCATTTGGCTGATGTAGTTATGTTTTTTTTTATTCAGGTTTTTTTTCTCCGGGGATTATGGCAAGCAAAGGACTAGGCAGATGGTGCAACATACCCCAATGAAAAGCAGGATTGCCATTAGTACATTAAGAGAAAACAAAAGTGTTCGGAGCCCAGGACTGTTCATTAGCCTCCCATCTTCTGTAAGGGGAATTACAAATAAACCCCTGACCATCTTCAAGAGTTAACTGGTCAGATATAAGTCAGTGCCTGATTACCCGGGTTGTGGTCCGTACGCTGGATTACGTGCGGCCAGCAGTAACAGCCTGGTTGATCAGGCCCTGATCCACAGGGAAGTCTCATAGAGGGCAGGGCCGCGGGGGCGTTGAACCCCGGAACAACTTCTAGGTAGGTAGGTGTTTTTTCTCTTAGCTTTAGAGTACATTTCCATTATTTTGAGACGTTCCCAGTAGTTTAAATGCTTTATTGGCTCTGTGGGCCCTGATATCTCTCCTTCCTTGGAATAAGCCGTCATCACCTGAGAATATTATAAGTTGTAGAGAACCAGCGATTTGAATGCCGTCATTGGCATTATTTCTGTTGCTTTGAATGTTATTATCCACCCTGTTATTTTCCTGCCCTTAGCATCACTTGATAGATCTGCTCTAAATGATAGCTATGACAGTATTAAAAAAAATCTTTAAAATGACCATTTCGTTCTACCGTATGGTTCTCTTGTGTTTTGCATCTATTGATCAGTTTGAGGATCTCATTTGTTTTACACACAAAGGGGATTGGACTGAAAGATGGATCTTCTGGTGGTACATCTAGTGACTGTCTGTAGCTAAAGTATTACTGGACGTCACCTGGTGTGCAACTCAAGGTGTTCTTCCCCGTTCGTTCTCTGCCACTACTGAACGAATGCTGCTAGCTCTTATGGCGCACCTAGTCTAAAGCGGTTTCGCTAATCTTTTGCTGTTAATACTGGGAGGGCTATACTGAGGTTGTGCCTGGTAGCGTAATCACCGCAGGATAGTGATTATTTTATTAATCAAAAATCTGCCATTGTAGCTAATGCTTGTTATTTAAACTTGCTGTGATAGTATTTATACTGGGTATCATATTTATACTAGTTTTCATTAGTAATTTTCTTTATTTTATGCGTTTAATCATCTACACGGTCAAAGAACTTCAAATTTCAAAACTACCAATCATCTTCAGAGCATCGTCTCAAGTAGAGCCATGCACTCAGTACCCAGTAGTTAATGTACAAAAATAATGTCACGGTTTTGGGTACGTTGTTAATTTGTTAATACCGAACATTACAAGAGTTCCCTAATTATCATATGTACATGTGTATGATACTGTAGTAGAAAGTAATGATTTTTAATTATGAGTGTGGTCCATTTATAGAGTTGAATCATGTTCAGTTTTCACTTCCAGTTTTTGGGTATTAATAGTTTGTCACGGTATTGTGATTTGTTCTGGATGTTGTCTTTTGTAGCTTCGTGGTAAGTGCAGAAGCGGAGGTTCACATGCGATACAGTTGAGTGTACACCTCTGCACTGTCCCATGAACCATGTGCTGGTAATATTTAATACAGCATGTGCAGATTAGTCCCGCTGCATAATTAGAAAATTGTATTTAATTTATGAATGCTCTAATTTGCATTTTTAACAGGCATTACACTCATATCCACGTCATTAGGATTTGGGACAACTATAAAAGATCAATTTTCTGACAGTACAACATCCAGGCATCTTCTAGTTTTCTCACCGGTGTTCTTTTTCTCAGGATGATGACGGTAGTGGACAAGCGATGTACGGCAATGTGGGTTTGGTCCATTCTAGCTCAGGTGACGCCCACGTGTCGGGTCTTTCTCACGGGGGTGTTGAAGATTACTATGCTGTGAACGCACCTGCCCCAGGCACCGTAGGCGTGGCATCAGCCCGCATCAACCACGCCTACACAGGCGGCGGGAGTCGGGACATACAGGCTTCTTCCGCCGGGTCGGAGTTCAGCGGGATCGTGATCCCGGGCACCGTGTATACAAGCAGCACTGGCCAAGTCCCAACGGGTGGTATGGGTGGTAACCCCAACTATATTCCACCACCTCCCCAGCCCGCCCACAGCTACACTCCCACTTCACGTGTGGCGGTGCCCATGAGTGCACAACCCCTATACTCAAACACAGCCTCTCAGCCCATCTATAATAATTCTCCACGGCCACAGCAACACTCCTACACCGAGGAGTCTCCACCCCCGCCCCTTCCCACACAACCTCCTCCTACACAGGCCCAGGCGACTCCTACCTATGCTAACTTGAGTACTAACGGTGCTGCATACCCGCCCCCTCATACCTTGTACGCCAACGTGGATCCAACCTCTGGTAAGTTCTCTTCACCTTCCTTCTAGACGGCTTATCTTAGTGGTGGGTAAGGCTGCCCTTCCTGTCTTATTTTGGTTGTAGTAATAGATAAAATTTTGTTCGGATTTTTAATCTCGGAGGGTTAGCCACCCAGGATAACACAAGAAGGGCAGTGCGTCATCGATGGGAGACACTTATTACCATTGCGTCCTCAGTCTTGTCCCCCAGGATGCGACCCACACCAGTCGACTAACACCTAGGTACTTACATGCTTACTAGGTAAACGGGATAATAGTTGTAAGGAAACACGCCCAGTGTTTCCACCCTTGCTGAGGATTGAACCACGGACACTCAGCGTGTGAAGTGAGAGCGTTGCCTACCAGGCCACGGGCCTTTAGTTCTGCATCACAAAGGTGGCTCACTACGATAACACACTGGCCTTGTACATTTTCGGAGTTTAATATTTCATGCGAACTGTGTAGTATATTTTTTTCACTGCATGTAGTACACGCCTTATAAACAACTTGAAAACTGACACTGATAAAACTTGCTATATTTTAAATTTATTTGTAAAAAAGATTTTGATGTACAAATTGGTGTTAGCAGTCGCTGTTAAAATCTAATTACAGAAATAATTTCGGTCTTGGCTCCCGAAGTGACCATGCATCGCAGTGCCCACCGAAACGAGCTTTGCCACAATATGAAACCCGTCAGAAGCTTTGCTAACATGTGTAGTGACTGGACATTTCCGTGCGGTGGTCATTGATAAGATATTCTCTAGGTGTGTTGACGGGTAGTGACGACGCTCCTGTGAAGGGTGGTCGCAAATATGGGGTTATTGTTTACACGAGAGTTGACACAGGAACATTTTTCTTGGCAAATATTTAGAGCAGGATACTCCCATTCTGCATTTAAACGGTGTTGCAAAGCTTTTCTTTTCCTTGTGAAATTTTATAATTGAGAAGGATTGGATAATTATGGTACAGTGTACTTAATGCTTTGTGAGCCTTGCAAAGGACTATAGTAGTCCAATACTGTTGTTTAAAACTGTAGTCACCCTTTTGTTAACGGATGGTGAAGCAATTGTTTTGTATATAACTTGAAAAAATCACTCGCAGAAATTTTGGCGTTTGAAAGCCCAATACAGATGTTTAAGAGCTTGATGGCACCAGCTATGTATCTTTCACCATTAGTTAATGACAGAGAGGGAAATACAAGAGGCTACAGAAAATCGAGAAAGCGGGATTAGTTAATAAAAATTTTATTACTGAATTATTTACAACAGTAAAATGGATACCGTGCCAATTCAACGTAAAATTGGTTTATACACACACCCGATCCTCCGTCAACTACTGTATCAAGTACTGCTCAAGATCCTGCAAGACGAGGAAGACTTCAACGTTAACGTTAACAAGAAGAACTTCATATTCCCATAAGCCGGAGCGTTTCCAACAGCTACTAACTGGACCTACCAAAGAGGTTTTGGCCACTAGGAACTCTCCCACCTCTTTACTCCCAATTCATATTGATGCTTAAATATACCTACTACCACCCAGGAGTGGTATTCCACTTCTTTTTATGTTCTTAGTTACCCATGCCCTTAGCCCTTGTGGCTTAGCGCTTCTTTTTGATTATAATAATAATACCCATGCCCTTTCCGTATTTTCACCCTCACTCTACACCTTCCCTTCTTTCCCTCTCTCCATGCTCGCCATACTCTCACGATGTCCAAACTAAAAAGAAAACTGACCGCAATAGAAAATGGACTCTCCCAGGCAATAAGAGAAAACGCATTCGGTTGGAGGGGTACCTTAAGTGGGCACGGAAGGTATTTTAAGAGATAAGATTTCGTTCGGATTTTTAACCCCGGAGGGTTAGCCACCCAAGAAAGTCAGTGCGTCATCGAGGACTGTCTAGCTTATTTCCATTGGGGGTCCTTAATTAATCTTGTCCCCCAGGATGCGACCCACATCAGTCGACTAACACTCAGGTACCTATTTGCTGCTAGGTGAACACAACAGATGTAAGGAAACGCGTCGAAATGTTTCCACCCGTCGGAAATAGAACCCGGGCCCTCCGTGTGTGAAGCTTTAGCTACTAGGCCACCGGGCCTGGTAGCTAGATTATTAGCCTGGAAGGTTAATAACTCAGGGTAACCCAAGAAAGCCAAGCACTGGTTTATTTCCATGGGAGTTCTTACACTTTTCAAGATGCGACTGAATTGTCTATTATAAACTCTTAAGTATCCTTACGGCTAAGGGTAGCAGGCGTTGATTGAAAGGTGTCCATAATTGTCTCTTGCCGCCTCGGTTTGAACTATGGTTCTTTCGGTGATGATACGAATGATATGCCACAGCTCGCTAAATCCTCGTTCGATGCAAATTGTCTGTTTTCAGCTTTAACTTAATATAATTTTGTTCGGTGTTGGACGAGTATTAATCGTTCCTTTTAGTACTCTGGCCTTTTGGTATAATATAAAAACGAAGGAACACTGCAGTAGGCCTGTTTGGCCATTTAGTCATGTGTAATTCACACCCTCTTACTCCCACTAATGTACCCTTTCAACCAGTATTTAAAGCTGGGTCATGACTCACGAAATCCTGATGACACGATTACAAACAAACCATACCACGGGTGGGGATAGAACCCGCGATCAGTTATAAAACTCCAGACCGACGCGCTAGCCACTGGTCCAGCTGGATACAAGATTCGTCCAGTGGAAATATAAACACATATACAGTATGAACATTAAAATGGTATAAAATACCGACAGATTGTTAGGTAAGACACATATGCAACAGTTAGGTATCTTTATTTCGAAACGTTTCGCCTACACAGTAGGCTTCTTCAGTCGAGTACAGAAAAGTTGATAGAAGCAGAAGATACTTGAAGACGATGTAATCAGTCCATCACCCTTAAAGTTTTGAGGTGGTCAGTCCCTCAGTCTGGAGAAGAGCATTGTTCCGTTGTCTGAAACAATATGAAGTTGAAGTGACAGGATGGAGCCTTTATATAGTGCCAGGAGGTGAGACGTAGGTTGCTTTGGGAGGGCAGGTCCCTCTCAAACCCAGCCGTTCTCACTAGTAGAGGTCGAAGTTGATGGTCTGTACCAAGATACCCTTGTGTTGCAGTGTCTGACAGAATGAACATTAAAATGGTATAAAATACCAACAGATTGTCGGTATTTTATACCATTTTAATGTTCATTCTGTCAGACACTGCAACACAAGGGTATCTTGGTACAGACCATCAACTTCGACCTCTACTAGTGAGAACGGCTGGGTTTGAGAGGGACCTGCCCTCCCAAAGCAACCTACGTCTCACCTCCTGGCACTATATAAAGGCTCCATCCTGTCACTTCAACTTCATATTGTTTCAGACAACGGAACAATGCTCTTCTCCAGACTGAGGGACTGACCACCTCAAAACTTTAAGGGTGATGGACTGATTACATCGTCTTCAAGTATCTTCTGCTTCTATCAACTTTTCTGTACTCGACTGAAGAAGCCTACTGTGTAGGCGAAACGTTTCGAAATAAAGATACCTAACTGTTGCATATGTGTCTTACCTAACACATATACAGTATAATGTGATCCTTTATTGACAACGTTTCACCCACACAAAGCCCACTGTGTGGGCGAAATGTCAATAAAGGATCACATTATACTGCGCGTGTTTATATTTCCATTGTGTCGGTATTTTATACCATTTATTTCCAAGATTCGTCCAACTACGTATATTTATACACCATAGGAAGGTTGGCATAGGTACCACTGTGACCACAAATGCAAGGGTTTACAGACTAATCTGCCGCCAGCGTGGCCGGAGATTCGTCTGTAAAAACGTGCATTTGTGGGCAGTGGTGCCTATGCTAACCTTCTTATGGTGTATAAATATACATAGTTGGACGAATCTCGTAGCCAGCTGACCCAGTGGCTAGCGCGTCGGTCTGGAGTTTTATGACTGATCGTGGGTTCTCTCCCCGCCCGTGGTATGGTTTAAATGAGTCATCTGTATAAGACCTGTGTTAAGACACTTGTCCTGTCTCCTGACGAATAAAGCAAAAATTGCCTCGATGATGCTACTGCTACTTTAGTTTGTTCCACTTATTTACAACTGTTGCCAAACCTGTACTTTCCAATATCCTCTCTTAATCGAATTTTTTCCAGCTGTCCATTGCTGCGAGTGGCTGTTTGTTACTTTTATTCCAGGTTTCACTTATATATACGCTTCTCTCGTATATCGTCTAATTCTACACCTTTCAGAAGAGTAAAAGTTCAGTGTCTTCAGCCTGTTTTCGTAGGAGAGGTTTCAGTGGCGTCACGAAGCTTGATTTATTGAGGCTCAACATTTCGGGTGAGGCTCTTGGCAGTATTCTTAATAGTTGTGATGAATGGTTTGAAAAACCGACAAGTTGAAGATTGAGACACTTATGCAACATATGGGAATCTTTATTCAGGAAACGTTTCGCCTTTCTATTTTATATTGGACTGATGAAGCCACTGTGGCGAAACGTTTCCTGAATAAAGATTCCCATATGTTACATAAGTGTCAATCTTCATCAAGTATTCTTAACACTTTTTCTAAGGTCTTGACGTGGCCTAATCTGGTTGTTGCACCATTGTAGGCTTGGGTTGTATAGTCTTAATTCATTCTCTGTGGTGGCATTGTGTTAAGTGTCACATCCACAGATGGTAACAGGTGTAGACTGTGGGGTCACTCGTAAACTTTCTCCTGTGTGGGAGGGTCAAGTTGTGGGGAGGGTGAGGCTAGAAATAAAAAGTGTAAAAGGATAGCGATATTGCGATGTGTTAATTACATAGTGCAAGAAAGGTGATTTATGCTTACGTTAATATGATTGTTTTGTAGTGTGTGGATGGAGCAGATGGCTTTTTTTAGCTATAGTTTACATAAGAAAGAAGGAACACTGAAGCAGGCCTACTGGCCCATGCGAGGCAGGTCCAGTTCTCCCACCGGCTTCAGCTAATGCCTTAACCTAGTCAGGTCAGTCACATTCACTTAAGGGAGGAGCACGGCATCTGACCTAGTAGCACAAGCCAGT